TGATCAACCCGCTGAAAGTAGTAATTCACCTGCCCTGGCCAGGCAAGGTGAAGAACAGACACCTTCTAGAGTGCCTGTAGCTGATCAAGATATGTTCTTTAGAACGTTAGATGCAGTATTGATGCGTTTCCAACCTCCTGTTACTTCAACTCCAAAAATGAATGTTGCAAATGAGTTGAAGGGTTTAGGAGCTCCAGAGTTTAAAGGTGAAGCCGATGAAGGTCCTGTAGCAGGGGAATCGATTCCCTATTTGTAAACTGGAAAATTTAACATTTCGGGTACTGTAGCAGGTTATTGTTTATACATATTTTATTGTTCGCAAATACATTTTTTTACCTCAAAATTTTATACTGAATATATTTTAATGATATGTTATCTTATTTTCCTAAAATAAGTTCAAATGTTTTGTTATTTTATAAGGAAAATTATTTTAAAAAGGTAATGTCACATCTCGGACTCGGACTCGGGTCGGGTACGGGTTAGGGGTGTTACAAGTGGAATACCGAAGATTGATCCTTGAATTGGTAAAAGAATTTGAAGATGTTACTTTCAATTATATCCCTTGAGAAGATAATCAAATGGCAGATGCTTTGGCGACACTTGCTACAATGTTCCAAGTAAATAGAAGAGCTGACAGGATGCCAATTAAAATGCAAATGTATAAAACCCCGGCACACTGTTATAATATCGAAGAAGAGGAAGATGATCATCCATGGTATTATGATATTTTGCAATACATCAAGTATCAAACTTACCCACAAGGTGCGTCTGAGATCGATAAAAAGACAATAAGAAGAATGGTTGCCGGATATGTATTAGATGGGGAAGTTCTGTACAAAAAAGGTAGTGATCAAGTTTTGATGAGATGTGTGGATGCCCGAGAAGCAAAAAGTATACTTGAAGAAGTGCATGAAGGGATATATGGAACACATGCGAATGAGCTTTCTATGGCCAGGAAGATCATGAGATATGGATACTATTGGGCCACTATGCATTCAGATTGTGTTGATTATGCACGAAAATATCACAAATTTCAAATCTATGGAGATAAGATCCATACAACTCCGTCACCTTTGCACGTGATGACTGCACCATGGTCGTTTTCTATGTGGGGCATGGATGTCATTGGGGCAATTACACCAAAGGCTTCAAATGGACATCGTTTCATATTTGTGGCAATTGATTACTTTACTAAGTGGGTTGAGGCTGCCTCATATACAAATATCACAAGATCTACAGTTTGCAAATTCATAAAGAAAGAGATAATTTGTCGGTATGGATTGCCAGAAAGAATTGTCACAGATAATGCCACTAATTTGAATAACAAGATGATGGTAGAACTTTGTACTCAGTTCAAGATAAAACATTCTAATTCAGTGACCTACCGTCCAATGATGAATGGAGCAGTGGAAGCAGCAAATAAAAATATTAAAAGGATCATCACAAAGACCACTGATACTTACAGAGATTGGCATGATAAATTACCTTTTGCCTTGTATGCATATCGAACTACAATACGAACTTCGATAGGGGCAACACCTTTCTCTTTAGTATATGGGATGGAGGCAGTCTTGCCAGTGGAAGTAGAAATCCCATCACATCGAATTTTGAAAGATGTGAAGTTGGATGAAGCTGAATGGGTTCAGGCTCAGTTTGACCAATTGAATCTCATTGAAGAAAATAGATTAAAAGCTATTTGACATGGTCAGATGTATCAGAAACGGATGATGAGAGCTCATGATAAGAAAGTTCATCCAACAGAATTTCGAGAGGGTGATCTAGTGTTTAAAAAGATCCTGCCAATTCATAAAGATTTCCGAGGGAAATGGATGCCTAATTGGGAAGGTCCATATGTTGTCAATAAGGCCTTCTCTGGAGGAGCATTAATCTTGGCAGAGATGGATGGAGAAAAACTGAGAAATCCGGTAAACTCAGATTCTGTCAAGAAGTACTATGCTTGAAGGAAAAAAAGGAACAAATAAAAAAATGAAAAAAAATGAAAAAATGATGAAAAAAATGATGAAAAAATGAAAAAATGAAAAGAGAAAAAGGAGGGTTTGAGATGAAAATCCGCAAAAGGACATCTTGAAACCAAAGGAAGACTTTGAGTTGAAAACCTGAAAATGCGGCTCAAAAGCATTTTGAGATTAGGCATCAGACAACTAAATCTTCTTGAGGGCCTGATATTTTGAGAGAAGCTTCACATCTATAGACATTTTGGCAATTCTCGAAGTCCTCCGGACAGAAGCTCAAGTCATAGTTATATCAAGTGGATTGATTCAGGAACATTCATGCTAATGATCCATAAGGACATTTGACTTATGGTTTTAAATTTTCATTATTCATATGATTGCCATAACTTTGTAAATTCAATTTCTTGTCAGTAAATTCGAAGTTTGTTATTTCAAGTTCCAATTTTATTCATTCTTCTTATAAGTAGATTGACATGGCATTAAAAAATAAAAGATTTTTGGTATTGCTCTGAATTAATACTTCCATATTAAAGATTCTAGCCCTAATGATCGAAAAGATTAGGGTATGACATGGCCAAAGAAAATGCATGTGAGTTGAGAAAAGAAAGCACATTGAAAACACTGATATTTTGATACACTGACAAAGATGAGCAGTTCAAAAGGAAACAGAAAAGGATTTGCATGGGAACAAGAGAAATGAGAATTTGCATAAAATAGCCCAAGCAAAATGTGGAGTGCAAACGAAAGAACCAATGACGCATTTAAAATGAAAATTTGCAGGACCACAAAGATCATAATATTAAAATGCCATCATGCATACATCAGTAAGCATCTATAAATAGGAACATGCTCATTCATTCAAATTCATTGAAATGCTTTGAATATTTTGACAGAAATTCAGAGAGAGTCAATAACAATTAAGATTCACCGCAGAAGGAGGTGAACCAACATTTCCAATGGAGAGTTCATAATGAGAAAAACTCATTCAACAGAGGGAGAAGAAGTTCATAATGAGAAGAGCTTGTTCGACCTATCACTCGATTCACGACATTTCGAATCAGTGACACCTCGCTTGAGGGATTGACATTTTCAGGAGAGTTCATAATGAGAAGAACTCATCAAACGAGGAAGAAGTTCATAATGAGAAGAGCTTGTTTGACCTATCACTTGATTCACGACATTTCGAATCAGTGACGCCTCGCTTGAGGGATCAACATTTCTAATGAAGAGTTCATAATGAGAAGAACTTATCATAAAGGAGAGAGTTCATAATTAGAAGAACTCATCCAACAAGGGAGAAGTTTATAATGAGAAGAATTTGTTCAACCTTGGCTCAACATTTCCTAGTGAAGAGTTCGCATCGTGATAAGAAGAGACCAAGATAAAAATGATGCTTTATTATCTTTGCTTCATTCCCGTTTCACAACAATAAGCAAAGAGGGGCAGCTGTCAGCATCATTTTTTTTATATTCCACCCACCCCACCATTCTCGTGTCCCATGCCTCTACTAGCTCCCATGTGCTATTGTCATCTCCACTCACCTGCAAAATCCTCACCAAAGTCAAAATTAGATCCCACCACATTACCTAACATTGAAAATTTTGAGATTTCTACCTACCGAATCAATTATTCAGCATCCAATAATCATGCATGTAAAGACAAAACGAAGACAGCTTAAAGGAGAAGACATTCAGGGGTTTGAAAGGGGGCACTGAAAAAAAAGCAGATTGAAAAAAGCAGATTGAAAAAAGCAGACTGAAAAAGAAGCATCTGCGCCACTCTGCAGTCTACTCTTTGAGCAGTTTCCTCTTTGATCTTCACTAACTTGCCCCATCTGGATGCCAAATTAGTAAAGAAAGGAACCGACTAGCAATTTAGAGGAACTCCTAACATGGAGATTGCACAATAAGCTAGGGGAATGCTTCCCTCATCCAAAACAAGATCCAACCTTTCAAACCAAAAGGACAAAGCTTCCCATTTTTCTTCCATCGCCATCCTTCTCTCTTCCACAGATTGAAAAACTACAAAACAAGCATTTCTTGCACATCCCCACCTTACTACCTTTGCATTAATGTCGTCGTTCCTTAGAGCTTTTTGCAGAAACTCTACTTCAAAAATTGCTTTACAAATACCAGTAAGAGATGATCTCAACCAAACCCTTTCCTCCACAGAAATAAATACTTCCATAGGATTTCTCATCTCCTTCTTACTTTTCTGATTACCCTCTTGAACATCCTCTGGATCTTTATTCACCCCAACAACTGTATCCTTAAAGGTCCTTCCATCAAGAAACTTGTTTATCATCTCCATCTTCCTTACCCTCCCTACTGGAGAAGACAATCTACCAGCGTTTGTCCCTCCTTTTCCAAATCTATTTAACCCCTGAACCCTACCCGCAATTTGCCTCCTCGTCCCAGATAATTTCTCATATTTAGCTACTGTCACAGAAATTCGCCTTCCATCAATTGTGACGTTGTTCATCTTTTCCACTGCATTGCACAGATCCTCCTTGCTTACAAAATGGACAAACGCAAACGTACTAACCTTATACTTCGGTCTATTATTGACAAAAGGAATGAACACCCTAATGACTTTTCCAAAATAACTAAAACGATCCCATAAAGCATTACGCTGCACTCTCCTGTTGAGATTATCAACAAACGCTGACCAAGTCTCTCCTCCATGGACCTCTCTAACTTTACCAACAGACAACTTGCATTTCAAAGACTCTCTCTCTCTAACTAACGCTATTCTTGTGAATTGTTTTTCTCTACTCTGGATATTTGTTTCATACTGATGCATATTTCTATATATGTATCCTTGGGATCATCCCTTTTTCTCTAGGCAATCTTAATTTTCTCCGACAAGATTGGCATAGGCAGTTTTGTGTTGATGTCGTGTCGGCATTCTAACGAATATCCATTGTCCACCCCTTTCTTTGTTACACTTTGTGTCAATCAGTTGTGTTCTTATTTGAAGGTTATCGGTTGTAGCATGTGTTGTGATTCGATAGATTCCCCGTTTCAGGTGGAGATCGTGATGGGGCTTGAGGAAGAGTTCGGAATCACCGTGGAAGAGGACAATGCCCGAAACATATCGACTGTTTTGGACGCAGCTGAACTCATTGACAAGCTCTGCAGTGGAAAAAGTGACTGAAAAACGAACCAAGAACCTAAGTTGAGGGGATTCATTTTTCATTTGCCCATATTGATGTCACTTAGACCATTTGTCAATCATGTTGTGAACCCATATTTATTTATTCTCTAGTTGAGATTTTAAATTAGTTCCTGATATGAAAAGTATCTAATTGAAACTCTTTCAAAATTGCTTAAATTCTGGTGGTTTCCAAGCAACCAAACCCCAAGGTTGAAAGCATGGCAAAGGAACTTTGGAGTTAATTTTTTATAGTTTCTTTTTTTTCCTTTTACATTTTAAATATTGGTGAAGCACGAACTAACTTACCTCAGTAGTTAAAGAAATTGTTGTTATTCCTAGACCTAAAGATTATGGGTTCGAGCACCAGCAACCACAAAGGGTGATTAGGCCTTTATTGTCAAATGATTGAAATTTAAATGAACACAAACCAAACATGACCATCTTCAAAGGTAAATAAACGAACATGAACATAATTTTATTCATTCAAGCTCGATTTATTCACAATCCTAATGTCCAGTGCAAGAAATACATGTAGTTCAATTCTTATTCAAATGTTCTACGCATGCAATAAAATTTATCTGAGTATATAGTTAACATTCAAGCTGATGAATATCAATATTTTGAAAACTTAATTTCAATGTTTTGAAGTTCTGGTAAAAAAAATGTAGTTCATCAAAACCTCCTCTGATTTGACAAGGTGTTTCAGACTTGGAGGCAATGATTCTAGTTCATCACAACCAGAAAAATATGAAATTCGAAAATACGAGAGGTATTGCATCCCTTCAAACAAACATTTCACTGTTCTCACAGTCAGAAAAGTTTAAGAACCGGAGCGAACTTGAGATTCGAACGCATAGTATAAAATAATGTTGATATTCAAACTCCAGATCTACATGACAATACATTCCTAGCACATACAGAAGAAATATCAAGGACCAACTGATTACACCAGGTTTACAAAGAAGCTTAAGGTAAAGCAGGTTCTAGATTTATTGGATTTGATCAGAAAATACTATATCCAGGCGTTGATCAGTTATCCCTTTGATCATACATTTACAATCTGAATTGCACTTTGTTTTATTCACAGAGCTTAATGGAAAGAAAATCTACTAATTCAAAGTTCATACAATGCTTACTCCCAGTCGGCGTCAAAGAAACCAGCATCTTTCATCTCCGAGTAGTATACATTCTCTAAATGCATGTCTTCCTCCTGCATACATTAAAGATGTTTTAAATATATGCTTGCATGTTAAACAAGACCATGCTAAAAATCAATTAAAAAGATGAATTTTTTACTTGAATTATGAAATAAATGATTACCAGGAAAAAATCTGCCAGAAAAGTTCTGTACAGAAGAGGAAGGTACAAGCCATGGTAGCAAATGATTGTGGCGCTGTACAACCTGTAAATGTTTTTCATAGTCTTTTTAAAAGAGAAAATCCCATGGAACCGAACATAATATACTATATTAAAAAGGCATCATGTATTTACCAAAATCCAAAGCTAGCACCATTTCCAGTTAGTATGCAAGCGAACAGCGATAGGGCATTCAAGATGAACATGATGGCAACATATTTGTAGAATGCAGGTCTTGCTGCAAAAGGAGAGAGAAGGCTATAGGTGAAGCGATGGACAAACTATGTTTAGATAACTTGCAAGCACATAGGTAATGAACATACCAGGTAACCTTTCTCTCCACTTGGAATGGTACATAAACAGTATGGAGCCATAAATAGCAGTCAGCACAAGCCTGTGAACAACCCATAAGCCCCATTTCACCTGATGTGGATGTTCTGAGTTATCGATGAACAAGGGGACACCAAATCCAAATAGGTAAATAGCCTAAATGATGGAAAAATCCATTGAAATATTAATGTCATGAATAAAGCATCCACAGAGAAATATTAAAAGAATACACAAGAAAAATACAGAAAAGATGAAAAGAATACACTAGAAGGAAAAAAAAAGGAATAACATTGTGTGCCTTTCAATATTGGAAAATGAAAGCAACTTAAAAATTATACACAATCGTACTATATAGTCGAGATTGCTTAAGAATTTAAAGTAGGTCAATGATCAAACTATAGGCCACAAGGATGATGACTCTGCTATTAATAGTAAAGTCTGCAGTAAGGAAGAAATTTTAATATTCTTCCACCACCATCGAATTCACCAGCAACAGTTTTGCAACTTCCAAGAAGGCTGAAATACTTGAGAATAAAATAAATACCTTCAGAAGTAAGTCCAAACCAACAATAAGCCCAGAAATAATGAATGTCCGTGTCAAAGCTTGCAACCCACTAGCATGATTTCCTTGAAGTAAAAATGCCAACAAGCTAACTTCCAGGAATAGCATCCCAGAAGTTGTAAATAATGATAAGACATTCCATGCCATTTCCTTTCCAGGAATGCATTCCCAGACCTGCATCAACCAAGAAATATTTTAAACCTAGCCATCCATCTATGAAGTAGAAAAATTTGACTTACTAGCAAATAGATTAAGAATTCTCAAGGATTAATGCATTTCACTTTTCACTAATCTTAGTGAAGATGAGTTCTCTCAAAGCATATAATTTAGAACTCATTCAAGCTATCAAAACATAAGATGCCGAGCTACTTAACAAAATTCAGTTTCATATAAGCCATATCAAGCAGAAAACAACATTTGTTAAGGATCACCGATATGCAATTTATATGTGAAAACAAATAGTAAACAGAATTTGTGTTGTACTTAAGAAACAGAAACATACACTATGGAAAAGGGAAAATAAAAATATCATACACCATGAATGATAATAAATGAGATACATGCAAACTCATGTCATACCAAAAGAGACAGCTATCCAACACCTAAGCTTGAGAAAGAAGGCTTTTACTACATATTTCTTTTCCCCGAATCTATATGATTCATTATTGGCTTCTCTGCATCGTTCACAAATATGATATCAAAGAAGCCTCACCAAATAGCTGAAACTTGATAACTTCCCTGTCCAATAATCCTGTTCTTAAGTTCATAATGCAAAGTTATAATCGGACAATTTTCAAGCCGTTTCTAATGTGACCGAAAGTTGCATCCAATTAACTTAAGCAGCATTAGTTGTTGCTTTGTCACTGACTCAGAAAAGCAAAGAACAAAAGGAGTATTTTGGATATAAGCTAAACCAACTTATGAAGAATTAAAATAAGAAAGTACATTCATCTTTTGATGCAAAATGCCTGACTTTACTTGTAAGTAGACTAATTATTCTATAACCGATGTCAGATTTTAGCAATCCATTTATGTTCATCAATTATAATTTTGCTTTTCACATCCAGCTTGTCTTTTACATTAACTTCCACTGTGATTTGCTTTAGAATAACAATAAAAGCAAACCAGAAAATTAAGCAAATACCCCATCATTCATTTCCCGGAAACAACCAAAGTTCAATAGATTCAATAAGCTAATTCAAGAAAAACACCAACTCAACAAAATCGAATGAGAGAAAAAAAAACCCCACAAACCTGAACACAACACCAAGCAAGATTGAGCAAGCTAACGAGCCAAAGGCAACCGTAGTAAGAAATCATGATATATGACCTTCCATGAGAGAGCTTTTGAAAGTTCTTTTTAGCTTGAAACCCCAAAAGAGAACAAATAGAAGAGAAGGAATAATGAGTGCTAGGTTATGCAAAAATCCATGACATTCAAAGAGCCATCCGTACAATCCGATTGACGAAGAAGAATTGTTAGGGTTTTGAGGAAATGGGGGATCTGTGATACTTTCAAGAGACTGCATTTTTTGTGAGGTTCAATTTCATAAAGAGAATAGGGAATACAAGAAATCTAAAAGCTTGAAGATTTGAGGCTTTAGATTCTCAGGATTTTGTTTTATAACTTTGAAGGGTTTGATTAAATTTGTTTTGTTGATCCAAACACGGAATCAGATTGCAGTAAAATAAATTAAAAGTATATAAATAATTATTAAATTACATTTAATTGATTTTTCAGTTATTAAAGTATTGTAAATTATAAAATATTTACTTTTTTTTTTATTTTGGTTATTATAATTATATATTTATTAATTTAGTTGAAGTGGGAATTTGAATCAGGACAAAGGGCATCTCCAGCGCTGTGGTGGAGTGGAGATTTTCTCCACTTTTATTACTCCAGCGCTGCGCCACTTTCATACTTCACTTTGGCGTTGCTTTCAGTATCACGCTACATGTAGCGTGTTACTGTAGCAACGCTATAATAAAATATTATTATTATTTTTATAATTTTTTATTTTTGTTTTATTATTAAATTATAAAATAGATAAAAATATATTAAAATTAGATGAATAAACATATTAATTTTGTTCTACGAAATGCACTAATTAAGTATTTGTGGAATAAATATTCTAATTTGGAGAATTAAAATAAATAATTATGTAACTTATATTTTTCGCATTATTATTATTAATTGTAATTTTCTTAATTATTTTTATTTTCACAATGTTATTTATGAATGTTTTATTTATATTTTTTATCTTGATATTTTTAAAAATATATATGTTTTATTTTATATTTACAAAATCAATATTATAATAATTAAATATTATGAATAAAGTAGAGTTGGTAGTAATATAAAGATAGCGCTGGAGATGAATTATTGTTTCATCTTTAGAGTAGAGATAGAGATGATGTAGAGTAGAGATGAGGACTAGAGATGGCCTAAGACTTAAATGGTTTTTTTTTACAAAGTTGAGATTTTTTTATTAAATGAGGTAAATATAAATTAATATTTGTTTAAAGATTTTTAATTTTTTAGATAATGAACTCTCATATTTTTTATATATACGATAAGAGTATGCAAAGAAATTCGTTTCGATTAATCCAATTTGTTGATCCGATCCAAAAATTCATATGTGCAATCCGGTTTTTGATTTTTGGATAAATTGGAATGGATATCTGAGAGAAAAAATGAATAATTAGATCAGATACGAATCATTTATATTTTAATTTCAGATTATCAAAAAATCTAATAAAATTTGGACTTTTAAAATTTAAATAGACTCTAGCCCAATAATAATCCTGTTGAAACATTTTGATATTTCGATATAACAAATTAAGTTAAATGGATTTTAAGATTTTCCAAATGATTTTCTAAGTATATTCGATATAACTATTCGAATATCAAAACATTACTCCAAATATTTCAAAAAACATTTTTAATCCTTACTTAAGTGTAAAATTAAGTTTTAATCATAAAACAATTTCAAAATAATCTTACAAAGTATTTCGAACCAATTCAAAGCCAAAAATTACAGATTGCTCAGAGGGAACCGATTCCCCCCCATATGAGGAACCGATTCCCCCTAAATGGTTTTGGCCCCGAGATTTCCAGAATGCTCGGAGGGAACCGATTCCCCCCCATAGGAGGAACCGATTCCCCCCTAAACAGTTTTGCTCCGAGAATTCCAGTATGCTCGGAGGGAACCGATCCCCCCCAAGGGGGTACCGATTCCCCCCTTGTACAACGGTCGAAATATTTGAATTTTACACTTAGGAACCGATTCCCTTCAAGGGGGAACCGATTCCCCCCACGCTCCAAGCTGTTTTATTAAATGTTTTCACACTAAAACGGCTATAATATCTTCTCTAATCATCCCCAACGTTCAGAAGTGATCCAAGGTGTATTTAAGCAAGCTTAGAAGCCATTGATCAAATACAAGAAACATCAAGCAACTAGAATCAAGAGAGAATCAAAGAGAAAGCATCAAACCTCAAGTTTGAGCATTTCAAGCATATTTTCATTCAATATTCATTTTGCTTTCAAGAACACTTTTTGTGCTCAATTGTATTCATCTTTGAGTGTTCTTTTCTTTGTTCTAGAATTGTGCAAACATCTTACCTTGTGAGGTTTTCTTGTAAGTTTGCAAATTTGTAATCTTCTCTTTGGGAAAAAGAGTGTTCTCAAGAGTTGGGGTATACTCTTGAGGGAATTGTAAGGTTATCTCTTTGGCCTCAAAAGAAAGAACAAATTAGTGAATTTGTTGGAAAATCCTTAGTGTGGATAGCTAAGGTAGTGGACGTAGACTTTATTTGAGAAAGTCGAACCACTGTAAATCGCTGTGCAATTACTTTCAATTTTCTGCAAAAGCTTCCACAAAAATTTTAATTGCCAATTCACCCCCTCTTGGCCGATTCCGTCAATCGATTAACTCAACAATTGGCATCAGAGCCTAACTCATTTGAAGGTTTTATCGCCTCTTGAGTCGATTCGGGAAGAGTTATATCGATTATTAATGTCACCAATGGCCTCCGCTTCAAACTTCGACTCCGGTCTTGATTCGATGCCCGTCAACAAGCCTCCTTTCTTCAATGGAGCTAACTATGTCTATTTGAAGAATAGAATGATGTACTTCATTCAAGCAAGTGACATGGGAGCATGGAATGTTGTAGAAGAAGGATACATCAAACCTCTCACTCATCCAAGGTTGTGGAGTGAAGGAGAGACAAGAATGTTCCAGCTCAACTCCAAAGCCATCCATATTATTTTTTGTGCTCTTGGACCAGATGAATACGGAAGAGTTTCATCGTGTACAACTTCCAAAGAAATATGGGACAAACTTCAAGTCACACATGAAGGTACAGATGAGGTAAAGAAATCAAAAATTAGTATTCTAACGCATAGCTATAAAAATTTCAGGATGAAACCAAATGAAGACATCAAAGCTATGACGGATAGATTTTCAACGATTGTCAATGGTCTCAAATCATATGGAGAGATCATCTCAAATGAAAAGCTTGTGAGGAAGTTAGTCTACTCCCTCCCAAAATCATGGCAATCAAAGAAGACGGCAATCATAGAGTCTAAGGACCTATCGTCCTTAACTCTTGAAGAACTTATCGGTTCACTCCTCCCTCATGAGATGATGCTCGAAGATGAGGTGGACCTTGATAAAGTTGAAGAGACACCAAAGGAAAAGGAGAAGAAGAAAAATATTGGAGTTGCTCTCAAATCCACAAAAGATGAGAGTGATTCTAATAATGATGATGATGACGAGGAAATGGCATTGTTTGCCAAACGGTTCAGAAAAATGATGAGACCTTACCAAGGAAGAAAATTCAAACGAAACGAAGGCCTCAAAAATAAACCAAAAGAGAAGGACCCAATCATTTGCTATGAATGCAAAAAGTCGGGGCATGTCAAATATGATTGCCCACAATTGAAGAAAAAGGGTCAATCAAAGAATAAGCACAAGGCTCATGTGGCTACATGGAGCGATGAAGAAATTTCCGATGAAGAGGAACAAGAAGTAGCAAACTTGTGCTTGATGGCATTCGGGGAAGATTCTAAGGTAACCTCTAACTCATCCTATTTTGATGATTTATCTTATGATGAGTTATTTGAGGAGTACAATGGGTTGGCTTCAGATTATGAGAAATTGTTTTTAAAATATAAAAATGATGTTTCAAAATTGAAAAATGAAAACAAACTTATATCCAAAACCAACAACGATCTTGAAAGTAAAATCAAAGATTTGCAAATCAAACTAGAAGAGTTTGAAAAGAAAAATTTAGATTTTCAAAATTTACTTTCAAAGATCAATGATGATCATCAAAAGAAAATTGATGATCTTAAAACTTCTTTTGATAAAGTTGGAACAAAACATTTTGAAAGAGGTGGAAATTCAAAATCCAACTTTGTTAGAAAAAGTTTTAGAAACTACAATCATAGAGGTCCCCAAAGAACCTCTAATAGAAAAATCATTAGAAGTATGTGGGTTCCTAAAGAACTCATTACTACTAAAGATAAAAATATCCTACACAAATGGATACCTAAGGGGACTAGGATTTTGGAAACTAATGAATATGGACCCAAAAGAATTTGGGTACCAAAAATCAAAAATTAATCTATGTTTGTAGGGAAAGGAGCATTGCTACAAGGCACGGGAAACAAATTCAAACTCATGGTACCTTGATAGTGGATGCTCAAGACATATGACCGGAGACAAAAACCGGTTCATTGAGCTTAACGCCAAAAATGGAGGAGAAGTGACTTTTGGAGACAATTCAAAAGGTCACATTGAAGGTATTGGTACAATAGGTAATACCTCTTCCATACAAATTAAGAATATTTTATATGTGAATGGATTAAAGCATAATCTATTGAGTATTAGTCAATTATGCGATAAAGGATTCAATGTCTTATTTGAAATTAATGGTTGTAAAGTCATTGACATTGCATCTAATCGGATTATGCTTGTTGGTCATAGAATAGGAAACATTTACATGGTGCATTTAGATTCTATTGATATGACTAATTTATGCCTAGTTGCTAAGGATGAGCATGATAGTTGGTTATGGCATAGGAGACTAGGTCATGCTAGTATGAGTGTTTTGCAACGGTTAATTCAAGGAGACTTAGTAAGAAGGTTTCCTCAGCTTAAATTTGATAATGATAAAATCTGTGATGCTTGTGCTAAAGGAAAACAAAAACAAGTTTCTTTTAAATCTATTAATGATGTATCAACTAGTAGAGTATTACAATTGATCCATTTAGATCTTTTTGGGCCAACTAGAACTACTAGCTTGGGTGGAAAACAATATGCTTTTGTCTTGGTAGATGACTATTCTAGATACACTTGGGTTCTATTCTTAAGTACTAAAGATGAAGCATTAGAAAATTTCATCACATTTTCAAAAATAATCCAAAATGAAAAAGGTTACTCTATCACTAGTGTTAGAAGTGATCATGGAACTGAATTTGAAAATCTTGGATTCATTGAGTTTTGTAATTCTAATGGTATTAGCCATAATTTTTCAGCACCTAGAACCCCTCAACAAAATGGAGTTGTTGAG